ACAACCACAACAACCACTCCAAGTACCACAACCACAACAAACAGTGATAACGGTCAAGGTGTCTGTAATGGAGCAACCTCTGGGCTTTTCCCCAATCCCTCAGATCCAACTTCTTATTACAACTGTGGCTTTGATGGAGCGCACCTCCAACAATGTCCAGCAGGATTGGTCTTCAAAACAAGCTGTAGTTGCTGCAACTATCCCTAAAGACTTGCAGGTTATATTTTAATATTCATCCTTATCTACTGAAGGGGTCACTGTCACAAGTTAGTATAAGTACAATTTCTTATGATCATTGCGTGTTTTGTTTTCAGCCTCACTAATCTTCACTTAATTTGAAAACATAATTGATACTTTATCATTAACATTTAATCTAACTTCATTTGCTTCATTATATGGTTGCTGCATACACACTGTATGTTGTGTAGGTGTATCCAACCCTATTGTATGGATATGTTCTTGTTGGTCTTTCTTTAGCCCTCAACTGACCAGATTTGTCTGGACACAGTGGTTGTGTAGTAGTTTTACATTTTAATCAATATTACTAAATCAATAAATCAATCATGACTTACAAATGAAAGTTTCTTATATTTTGTTTCGTTTTGTTTGAAGTTTTATAATTGGTTGGTAGTGTTGGGTAGTATTTGTCTATCAGAGATAAGAGGCCCAGTAACATGGAAAGAAGAACCTTCACTGAATTCCATTTAACTATTTCCATATCACAATCTCTCTCTCTAATCTCTTCTGTTGCTTGTCTAATAAAAGATATATCACATCATTTTTGTGTCAAGATGTGAAGTGTATCCTTTTGTTTACTCAAGTAAAGTCCTGTTTTGTGGCTGTAAAGAAGAAACCTGAACCTAAACCTCAATCCTTCATTGCATGCTGAGATACTGAACTCTCAACTTTCATGTAAAGCAGAACTGATGACAGACAGAAATTAGGCAGCGTTGTCTCTGAGTGTGTGCGTGCATGCGTGCGTGTGTGTGTGTGTGTGTGTGTGTGTGTGTGTGTGTGTGTGTGTGTGTGTGTGTGTGTGTGTGTGTGTGTGTGCGCGCGCGCGTGCGTGCGCGTGCGTGCGTGCTGTTACTGTTCCCTCAAGTTCTGGGATCATCAATAAGCTTCACAATTTTTTATCTAATCAACCACTCATAACGATAAATTCAACTCGGTCCCTCGATCACGAGAAGTTTTCACAGTAGAGTTTAGTAGCAGGAGGCGGAGTCACGTACACCAGTGTGTGTGGAAGTGTTTAAGTGCCAGTTCTAGTTCAACATCTTGGTGCAGTGTGGATGTGGCTGACAACAGTCAACAATAAATCATTTCTGTATTGGGAATAAACCTTCCGCTTGTGTGAGCTGTCTGTAGCTCAATAGGTTTGGCCTATGCTTCTGTATTTTAATGTTGGTACTTGGAGAGCCTCATATTTTCTGAGGTGGTACATGGTGTATAAGATATTAATCTTCATCATCTGTAACTTATGAACAATTCATTATGATAATAAAATATTCTATGCAGAGAAAAACAACTAAATATATATATATAAGTATCACCTTGTGTCAAGTGAGCAACAACATGTACCTAACACCCAGGAAGTGAAATTATTGAGCAGAACCTGTTTGGCAAGTGTTCCCATAGATGTCAGCCAACAACAGTTGTGTTGTTTCCTATGACAACTTTGTGTTGGGCGTTCACACCAACTAAATATGTGTATGTTCCCATAAGGGCACTGTGGGTGCCGAGTGAGGCCACAGTGAGGGCACTTAATGTGAGGAGACACTCAGCCAGTGAAACCTCAGAGAGCATCTCCTGAATCCATCGTACTATGAACTGATCACAAACTACCAAAGTTTAGAGGCGTATGCAGACCATGGAAGGAGGTGCCGATGTCACGTATGTTGTGCAGATGACGAGGTGAAATGACGTTGTAACAATTCAACAAGTATGAACAATGCAATTATTTTCAAATTGACTTGCGTGTCCTTTAATAAGACACCATACACTGATTCAGTGATTCACATTTCCTGCTCATGCATTTTTTATTGAAATGAATGACAGTATTTATTATGAAAGCAAATGTGAAAATAAAATTAAATAATTTGTTTGGACGTACATTTAGTTTTCAGGGTTTTCAAAACAACTCCCTTGTTCCGTGTCTAACTTAAAAAGTAGAAGAGAAAAACAAACTAATAAAATGCCCATTAAATATACCACACCTCCTTTACGTGTCTACTTTAAGGCCCCGTTGCCAAACATCCTGCGTCAAAGCAAAGATGTAACATACTCTACATTATTCTCTATATATTATTTTAACTCTTTAAAAATGTTTTCTGTATTATTTCCTAAGTAAATTTATCAAGCTAATTGGATTTTGAGATGCTTTAACAGGGAGTTACAGGCTTATATTGCACCTCATGTTCTTCAGGTTAATACAAATCTTGGGTAAATTAAATTTCTAGAGATTCATTTATTATTTCTAGAGAAATAATAAATGAATCTTCATGAAAAAACAGACATGTTCAGGAGACTGATATTTATGAGTGAGTGCAATTTGATGCAGATCCAAGTAAAAATCTGGATCCAGTGAATTTAAATGTGGCTTCATGAGGGGACGGTTGGTCCTTGGTAAAGGTAGGAGCCAGAACCACTCTCTGCAATATAAAAGGTCAATGGTGACCGATTCTTCAGACGTAAAAAAATACATTTAAATTGCCTCCATACTGCTCCTGTGGCGTCATCCAAGTGTCCAGAAGCTCCGTCATTCATAGTCAACATGAAACAACGTTATTTACACTATTTTAAGCCTAAATGTCTATTGATTATGATGCGTTCACGCTCTCACAGACACCAGAAAACTGCACACACTCTTGCACAAGGACAACAAAAAATACTGCTTCTAAATGTTTTCAGCATTCAGTATCAACATATTTGTAATTTTCAATATACAACATATCTTCTTTTCATTTAAAGAGAACAAATTTAATTTCCAATTAAATTCAGTGGCCCAAAGCTGACATGCTGATTTCACTGTTTCACTGCAAATCAGCTGCAAACAAATGTAATTCCTATGAGACAGGGCTAGTGTGCTGGAAATTGATCTCAACCCCTCAACAAATAGCACAAAACACTGAGAAGTTTAAGTTGAATATACTGAATAGAATACTGTATATGGAAACAGTCTTACCACGAGTCAGTCTAGCGTCTCGTTGAACAAAGGTTCCACATTTCATATTTTGCATTTTTTGAATTCTAATAGTTTATTGGTCCCTGATCACACTGATTTATCTGCTGCTACCTGGTCCTGTACATATATTCTTCATTCACCTTAGCTGTACATAATCTATGTCTGTATTATTTACCTCAATGCACTTCGAACACTTTAATCATTCGGTATTTAACTACGTTACTGCAATAATTTTTAACAGTTGTTATCCCATTCACCGTCCTTTACAGTCATATAGACTACCCTTACTTTATCATTTTAGTAGACTGCTCTGGTTTTTAACCGACATGGACAGTTTGGTGCTGGGAGAACACAACACTGCAACAAGATAACCTGTATCCATGGGTCATTGTGAAATACATGTGGTAAAAATCATAACTTCTGTCTCAAACAGCTTTTCACTTCAGCATTGACCTTTTTTAATATTCTCTTCATCTTTCACATCTATTTGTTATGTTGTGTTATCATTCGCAAAGTACTTCACCACTGTTGGAAATGTGCTAGAAATGTGCTTTGTTTTACAGCGATGTTGCTTCTGAGCCAATGAAAACACAAACTATCGTCTAATAGGAATCACAACTTTATTTCATGACAGTGTTTTAGTTCCGTCTACACACAAAACCAGTTCTATTTATACTTCAAGCAGCTGTATTTCCAGACAATGTTGGTTAATCATCAGTTCTGCACTATTTGTTAAGATACGATGATAGGTAGGTGTTTCT